CAGTTTCTCCTGATGTAGTGTCATCCATCATTTACAGCATGATTGACTTATCCCAGCACATACCACCAGGTGAGAAGCACAATCTACAAAAATACTATTAATTATGATATAATATAATACTAACTACTTTTGTGGAAGACTTTTAGAATAGGTAGCCATAAGTTTAGAAAAATCTTCAGAAAATTTCAAATCTAAGATGATGTTTGTTCTGTGTCTGCACCATTTAATCAAATGGAAATATTTTGGAACTCTTTTACATCTTTTCAGACCCCTTTTCTCAAAATTATGGTTTAATGTGTTGATCTAAGTAAAAGAGACAGGAATTTTTTAAGCGGTTATAATTTATATTTTTATAATAACAAGGCATTAAATGACAATGTGAAAACTGAATGATAAAGTTGCATGTAGTGATGAACCTACAGAGAATTATCACCCAAAGCTGCAGTTCTTCTCAACTTTTTTGAATTTTTTAAGAGAGTTTCAGCTAATTTGTTAGTTGTTCAACCCAAAACTTTATTGTTGTGGTCCACTCTCACCGCTCTTATGGTGTTGTTTTTGTCCTCAGCAGGCAGGTGTTTGCTGCGGAAAATCTCTAAAAATCTTCCGTACGCTATCTGCTTAGCTCCAACCAGCATACAGACACATGTAGAGACTAGCTGGTGAACACAGTGAGGCATTTAGCAGCCAAACAACCAAATATATCCCTCTGGAGTTGGTGGAGACAAAAAAACAAAGCTAAAAGTCAGTGAATATTTGGACAGGTGGCCTGAAATGTGACTCCAAATGAATGATGATAATGCTCCGTAACTGCTGTATGTATAAGTGAAAAACTGTTTGCTAACAAGTTCACAATAACAACTTAAACGGTGATGATATGTCAGTGTGTCATCTTGTTTCTGTTGTCCTTACGTGGCCAAAGAAATTGTTTATTACAGGTGTAACAGACACAGTATAACCTCCAGTATCAGAGGCTGTAAGAAATAAGTGGATTTTCTACAATCTGCTGCTTAAATACAGCCATTATTCACTTTTAAGAGCAGATTCTGTGCTGTATGGATTTATCTTACCTGAACATGAAGATTTTATTGCTCTGTTATTATGTTGTCATAATGTAAAGTTGTAACTATACAATAAAGTAATTTGCATTTACTTATGCCTTATTATAGGTTGCATCATATACACTGGACAGGTAATTATATGTGATTTTCACATTTGTTTTTCTGAATATTGTCACATATTGTTTTTATGACAATCATAACCGTCTTTTTTTCTCCCTTAAGTGCAATGTTACCGCGACAAACCGTAAGTTGTCCCACTTGTTTTTTATAAAACTAAACTATAAAATCATTTAATAATTCAATGTTAATGATTACCATTAATGTATTCCTATTTTTCACAGAAACAGACATTTGTGTTGGAGTGAACAGGTGAGATTTATTAACTCTCTGGTATCTTACATTGAGCTTGTTTAATATTTTGTCAATAAATGTTTGACGTTTTATTTCCTTTTGAAACTACAGCACAATGCTGCAGCTCAATCTTGACAGCGGACTGATGAACGGAAGTTTCTGTCACTTTGCTGTTGAGGAATTTGCTTGTGCCTCGGTAAGACACCAAAACATCTCAGATTAACAACTGTCCTCCAACTACTGCTGTGTGAAACTGTTTCAATGTGATCTTCAGTATGTTTGCTGATGTTCAGTCATTATTCAGCTGTTGTCATTCTGCTCTTTATCACACAGCTGTCATCGTTGAAAGCAAATGATCTGGCAGCGA